AGAAATTTTAAATTTGAGATAATTTACAATAGATAAATTATACAATAGTAAATTAAATTAAGAAATTTTAATTAACAATTAAATACTTAATAATAATATTTTGCATAAAGAGGTTCACAACACAAGTTCTTTTAAATCTGGAAAATTACAAAAATTTATTTAATTTACAAGAAAATTGAACCGAAATTTATTCGAAGACAAAAAATGTTTCCACTCACGTAGTTTTAAAGTTCATATTATAAAATTAAAATTTTAAATTTTAATAAAATGCTGCCAAACCCAGCTTAAGAAAAGAATATTAATTTGAAATTTTTTATGTGGTACACTTTTGCCAGTAATGAATATAGGTACGTACTAATCCAATATTATTATTTGAAAAAAGTATTGAAAATTTTTTATAAAATTAATAAATTAACTTAAAAATTAATAAAACCATTTTTGGGCCACTTTTGATTTGAAAAACAGATATATTGCATACTTCTAGGTGTAGCTCTATTGCATACGCAGAACGTAAATTATTCAATTTTGTCATAGTTTTCTACCATTTAAACTGCAACTAGTTTTAAGTGTTATGTAAATTTGTGACTTGCTGAATGTTATTTTGTCATGTGAATTATTTTTTTTACCAAATTTTAGCACATAATTCTTACACGTACTTAACATTCAATAATAAAATTATAAAATAATTTTTTTTATTGTAAAATTATAAATAATTCTCAATGAAGCTTGAATCCGATTATAATTATTTAAACTTAATTAATTTTAAAGGCGTTAATTATTAAATGAACACATAATATTACGGACTACATAAATTATATATACAGATACCTATATAATAATAATTTATATATTATTATTATGTAATAAATAAAGAAAAAAATAAATAAAAATAAAATTTTTTTCCAATAATTTCTTCTTGTATAATTTTTAATTGCATTAAAATTGATATAAATATTTATTTGTTTGTAAAATGTGTATACATGATATATAAATATATATCTTTTATGTAAGTATATAAAAAAATACAATAGATTTCATACGAAAATATATTATATATCCCTTATATCAATCACATATTATACAATAAGACAAGAGAACATTTTAAAAATTCTATATTGTATTTTTTTCGTATATCAATTTTCTCTAATACCTGACATTTTATAAATTTGTATGACAAAATGTTATAGGACAATTTTTTGTTTTTTTTTGTTGAATAAGATAATATTATTTTATTGATTCTTGACATATAAAGACTATTCGTACATTCATAATAATATAGGCGTACATTTTACTCCCATATTGAATATTGTTTTTATATGGGAATTATTGTAAATTAACTTTGAAATTTTGTGACATATATTTTTATTTAAGTTAATTTTTTTGCATTAACAGAAGATTTTTTGAATGTCAAATGTTAAGGAAATCAAAATATTAATAAATTTTGTTAGTATTATTCTCTTAAATATAAATTTAAGCTTTAAAGATTTAAAAAAGCAATATTTTAAATAATTAAATAAATTAATCATTATTGCTTTTTGTATTTACTTATTTACTATACATGTTGTTTTATGAAAAGAAAATATGGGGTTAAACTCGAGAAAAAATCTCTTATCATATTTTATGAAGATCAAACGTCCAATCTTAATTCTATAATTAAATATGTAAATTCTGTTAATCATAATATTATAATTAATTTTTTTAAATATTTTTGCCTTAAATATACTCGTAATATACGACTAAATAAAAAATATAATGTATATATGTATATCAAGGATATTTGTATAAATTTTCGTTTACCCTTGTTTATTAATTTTAGTGCTAATCTTCTTTTTCCTTATATTTTAAAATAGAATTTTTTTTTTTTGAAAGTACTTTAGGTATGTACGAGTACAATTAAAATTGCAAAACAAAAAAATAACAGCAAGAGATGATGATAAAATGCTATGAAAATTTTTTACATTCCGTATCCTTAATATAAAAAATATTTAAATCTTTAATAATATTACTTTAATTTTGTTTAAAAAGCAACGAAGAAGAAAATATTTATTAAAATAAAAATCCACGTGTCAAATCATTTGCTTTTGTATTTTCTTATTATACTTATTGTTGTTGTTTTTGTTTTTATTTCATTGTATAATATTTTGGTTTTTTTTTATTCAGTTAAAGTAACAGAATTAAACGTTCATTTATTGTTATGGAAAATAAAAACAGAAGAGAACAGAACGATTTTTTTTTGTTAAAGAATATTTTCACTTTTTCCCTTAACTTCTTCAACCTTCTTATTCTTTTTTGTTTTTAGTATTTTTTTTCTTTTAATTTGTTACCATTCTAACATTTTATATAAATTCACCCTAACATCATCTTCATCATCATCATCATCATATTTATATTATGTATAAAAAGTACATACCATATATAATCAAGATTGTGTCATCACATCATTATTGTTATATTCATTTTGGAACTCCTTAATGATTTTAACGACCTCTGAATTTCATTTCCATTACTAATTCTACTCCAGTTTTATACATTACTTGTTGTTTCACTCTATATTTTTGTTTTTCTCCACTCTTACCTCGATTTTCTCTTAAAGCACAAGAATAAGAAGAGGAATGAATATTGTAAGCTAAAAAGAAAAATAAAAGAAAGAATATGAAATTAAAAGAAAAAAAGAATAAATTTATAAGTTAGAAAAAATTAGAGTTACCATATGTTCTAAAATCGGGGTTAATAATTTGATTAAGATATCATCATTGTCACAAAAAAAAAATTGAATGAAAGGAAAAAATGAGTCTAAAGATGAAAATTACGTTTTTATTCAATGATGACACCGATTTCATACAAAATTTGCAATGCAATTATTTTTGACAGTTCCTTTCTTAATGACAACACCAAAAGTGAATATTCACGTTTGTATGTAAGTAAATCAAATAGTGTAAGTTATAAATTACATGACAACTGACCTCTAAGATTTAAAATTTAACAAATAATCAAAAAGTGAAATATATCTACCAAAACTTATAACCCTCAAACGGAATTTAATGAATTTAATAGAAATGACATGTTATATCAAATGATTTTTTTATCTAATACTTTGCTCCTGGGAGGAGCATAGGGTTGGTGCATGATGTTGTAGATAATCATGCGCTAGTTTCTTACGTCATTGAGTTAACTAGGAAGGTGATGAGCCTACCATAGCAAATATCAAATGATTATCTACATTGATAAATTGTTTGACAGACCTATAACAACTATTATTCAAAATAGAATGACTACGTGTACTTTACGTATAGAAATGCTATAACATACCATATGAGAATAATTTAAATTTATCTAAAATTTTATTTATTTTCATAAGAAAATAGCTTATGTTTACAATTTAAAAGAAATAATGCACATATATATTATACATATATATATATATATATATATATACGTATACATATTATATACACATATACTTACAAAATATACTATTAATTGGCTACTCTATATTTATATGGAAAAAGAAAAAAAGAAAATAAAAAATTAAAGTAAAATATAAATTGAAATTTAATCTTAAGAAATGTTGGAAAATGAAAAATAATTTTTAAGAGAATAGAAAAAGAAAAAGGGGTTATATGAACATTAACCTAATTTTCTATAATAAATTTTCATGTAAATTTTTATCCTTTTGCAAAATTTACATCAGGATAATACAAAGGTACAATACTCTATGTATGTATATATTATATCTACATAATATATACTTTGACTATATAATATATAGCTTCTTAAAAAAAAAATGAAACAATATACGATTCGTAGTGGAATAAAAATACGAGTTTTATTTGTGTACTTCTGTTTTTATTTCATTTACTTTACTTTTATTTTCTTTGTATTTCTATTCGTTTTTTTCCCTGTTTTTTGTTATTGTTTTGTTTACGCAAAATATTTTCCTAGAAATTCCATTTATAAACAGTAAATTAAGTTAAGTACCTGTATTGTCGGTTGTAACTTATTTCTCTCATCTTTAAAATTTTTTTTTATTTCGGTCTTTTTTTTTTTTTTTTTGATTATGATGATAAAATCCGACAAGCTATTACATTAAGGGGTTGAAAATGAGTGAATTAATGTACCTTTATTCTTAAATATATTTACATTTTGTGTATGTGTATATGTGTGTATACGAATATACATTGTACTATTACTAAGCATAATTATATATAAATTATTTATATATATATACATACATATAATATTTATATATTATTATTAAAAATATGTTTCTGGTCAGTTGTACGAGCAAATTATTTTGTAACAATTGAATTAATATTGGTGTGCATTATAATACTTTTTTATATATTTATACACATACATATTATACATACATAAATATACAAAATATAATAATATGTTTGAATATACAACTATGATTATTTGAAGCAAAAATTGATTATAAAAAGTAATTTTTGTTTTTATTTTATTTATTTTGGTAAATTTTTATGCATATGTACGGTAATTTATAAGGTAAATTTATAAAATACTTGTTATTTTGTAATTAGAAAGCACAAAAAAAAGTTAAATTAATATTGCTTTTTTTTTAGTTTTCTTTTTTTTTTTTGTTTATTTTGCCTTAAATGAGGGTAGAAATCGAAAAAAGAAATATGAAATATTGTTGTTCTCTGTAATTTAATTATAATTGAAGGAAATTGAATATACACATTAGACATGCATATGTAGTCAAAAATGTGTGTGAATATTAAATAAATTTAATTATCTTGGGTTATCTTACTATATATACAGTATAAAGTTTATTTAGTATGTATTGTTGTACATTATGATGTAAACAAATAGTAAAAATTAATAAAAAAGATGCAATAATAAAAATTTTAAAATTAAATTAAAATTAAAATTTTAAAATTTAGCATACTTTTAGGATTTGAAATAAATAATAAGTTTTTGTAAATTTTCATCAAAAGTATTTTTACTTGTAAAATAATTAATTTTTTTTCTTTTTTTTTTCTTAATTTTTAGGTCGATGGTCAAAAGTATTGTGGGCAAGGACGAAGTAAAAAAATTGCAAGAATTGAAGCAGCTGCAACAGCATTAAGAAGTTTTATACAATTTAAAGATGGAGCTGTGTTAACACCATTAAAACCAACTGTTAATGTTGATTTTACAAGTGATGAACACCTTGAGAATGGTACATGTACAAATGGTGTAATAGATAAAGAATTGTTAAATAATAGTGTTATTGGAAATGATGATTTAGTTGAGCTTATAGAAAACTATGTAAAGCATGCTAAGCAAGCTAGTAAATATGGTTTAAATAATGATTGGAAGTTACGCATGACAAGCAAGTATTTTGGTTTTTGTTTATTTTTTTTTTAATTTTTTTTTTTTTGTTGATTATATTTTTTTTTTAATATACATATATAACGTACAGTACAACTGTTTATATATGTATAAAATATATGATTATTTTTATTAAATTTTTTTTCCAATTTAAATTATAGGTTTTATAATGGGTTATTGTTTACTGTTGCGGGTTTCTTATTTGTTAAAAAGCTAACAGAAATGCTTATTTAGTTAGGGTCAAAATTTTCAATAGAGGTTGTGGTTTCCAAAAAGGTTCTTTTGTTTTTCTTTCATATGGTTTATTCTTCTTGTTAGGGTTTAGGTTTTGAATTAATAAAAACTTATACTGTTTTTTAGAACATTTTTGATTAATTTGGTTGAATGAGAAGCAAATTATAACATCAGTTAAATAACATTTTAATAACAGAATAAAATAAGATTTTAGATTCATCTTATTCTCTGTATTGATCTATAAATTCTGAATTTTCTTATGAAAATTATGAAAATGTAACATCATTTTTTTCTAATTATGAAAATGTTGTCATATTTAATGGTATTCAATAAAATTTAACATTAAAACAGGTTGCTAAATTTATTAAGTTCTAACAAATATAAAATCCGGAGCTGGAAAATCCTAAATGTATTGCAGAATCATTTTAGAACTAAATATATGTATAATTAAATATTTTTTTGATTGAATCTACTTAAATTTTCAACAAATTCCATTTATTTATCTTGTTCAGTTGATATTATTTTTATCTCATCTAATAATATAGCAATTAAGCTCAGAATTCTTAGATAATTAGTAATATAATACAATAGTTAGTAATACAAACTATACTTGATACTCACTTGAAAATTAAATTAAATGTTACTGTTTCTCAAGTTCAGGATATATTCTATTATTCTTGCATCTAATTTTAATTGTTTCCTTTAGATCGTCTTATTTCTCTCGAAATCAATTTCTTATATTGTATACTTTAAGTACTTAAGCATAAAATGTTGAATTAAGGTTGTCATTTTTTAAAACAAATAAAAAAATTTCACCAATCCAGAAAAGATAGATTAATATCTAAAAAACAATATATATGTAAAATTAACTTTTACTACAACTTTATTTTCAAATATAACAAAAAAGATGGGCTTACTGTATATCTCTTATAATTTGAAATTACATACACAATAATTTTTAAGAAACTATGTATGGAAATCATTAAAATAATAATTAAAGTGTCTAAAAGATTCACAGGTATTTACTTACATGTTGAGGAATAGGTTTAATTATATAAAACAGGTAATCGTGGTAATTTAAATCAAATTTATATTAGAAAAATTATTAATTTTATACACTAATTTTTTTTGTTTTGTGTTCATGACCACGTTAAAACAAAAAAAAAATAAAGAAATATTACAATCAATGCTATGCCGACAACAAAATTTTAAAACCTCTAATATGTATAACGCTAAAAGAAAATTAATAAATTGTCATTTTCGCATATCGATAGTACAAAAATCGATTATAAGAAAAATCGATGACATTTAAGCGAAATATGAAAATTAAAGATTCACAATATATTTAGCAATTCACAATGAGAAATTGAAATTGATTTGTTTTTTCTAATATCAATATTTTAACACCGATATGCGAATTTTACACACTCTACCGATACTTTTTGAAAACGAATTAAGTTTTTATATCTCGTTCAATTGATGTGTCAAAATATGCTATAGAGGTTTGTATTGACATCTTTTTTGATTTTACGTTAATTTTTCCTATATTTTAAAAAAAAAGCAGATTTTGAAAAAAAAAAATATTATTTTGCATAATAGTCTATTTTTTTTTTGCTATAAAACTAACTTAATTAATTAAATTAAATAATATGTGTTCAAATATGATTTTATCTTCTGATGCTATTTTCGAAATTATATAATAAATAGTGTAACATTGAACTTAATTTCGAGGTTGAAAAATTTTTAATTTTTCTTTTTTCTTTTTTTTTTGACAATTTTGAAAACAATTTTTTATATGTGTATTTAAATGTTTACCAATTGTTCCGTTCATTTCTTCTTTTTTAACTTTGAACAATGTAAAAATATAATTACTTTTTCTTGTTTAAAACAAAAACAAAAAAAAAATTCAGAAAATTTAGTATTATTAGGGGTGAGTAAAAAAAAAATGTCAACAATTGCATGATAAAATTTTAAATCGCGTTTTATTCTCATTATTTATTCAGTTTTAGTTTTTTTTTAATTGTTTAATTTAATTTTTGGTTTCTTAATTTTAATTTATTTTCTTAATTTTATTATTAAAATTTTGGTTTTTTTGGTAGTTAAATACGTTATTGTTTTCTTATTATCAGCGTATACATACAAACTTACATATGTATAAAAACATTAAAGAAATTTTTCTTACATTTTATGTATACATAAACACATAATATAAAAAATATCTATGGTTTTTAATTAATAATTATATATTTTCCTTGCAAATATTTTTTAGCAGCTAAAAGTAAAAGTTTTTTTTTTTGTTTAAGTTTTACATTTATTTTTTTCAAGCTCATCATTATTAATATAAAATTGCAGTTATTTAGCTATTTATTTTCACTTGTAATATGTACATATAAATTTATATAAAATTGTAATTATATAAAAATTAGTAGTATCTATAATAAATAATATATATATAAATAAAAATTTTATTGCCAGAAAATCATTTATATAACAAAAAAATATTTTTAAGCGCAGCCCCATTTTAGTTTATTGAATCGCATTTTGACAAAATTTTCCAAAAAAAAAGCGTATGGTAAAATGCAAAAATATTAAAAGAAAAATAATTAAAATGCTTATGATTTTTTTCAATTATTTATGCAAAAATTTTCAATAATATTTTTAATACTTTTAAATTAAAAATATTATTAATATATAAATAATAGTAAATAATTAACAAATTTATTATAATAATAAATTAAAATTCCAAAATTGCAATTTTTCAAAAACAAAAAATAATTATACTATATTTGAAAACGAAAATCAATCATAAGTATTATTTTTTTCATAATTTCATTTCAAAACATTTGCAATTTAGTAATTTTTTTCTTTGGTTTAATTTTATTTTTAATCAGTCTAATATTTCAATTAAGAAATATTATTATTTAGGAAGTTTTGGTTATATTTTTTATGATTTTACCGCATTACCTTTTTAATAATCTAGCTTTAATTTTCAAAGTTCACCACAATTTTTTTTTTTTTTTTTACTTTTTAAAATAATAATTAAAATAATTTTATAAATTAATTCAAAAGATAAATCTCTTTTTATTATAATTTATTTAGTTTATATAGTTATATTTATGAGAACGTCAAAAATAACCACTGAATGTCATTCGAAATTTAATTAAAAATTGGTTTGAATTTCGAATAATATAAAAATTAGATTTACTAAAAATTCGAACATAAAAAACTTAAATGCCAATTTCGTTCATTCGTTTGTTCAGAATAAATTTTACCAAAGTGTAAGAATAATATATTTACCTAAATTTCTCAAAATTTGAAACGATTACAAGTAGATCATAGAATCGATCATAGAATTACTCAAATTTATTCTCTTAAAAAAATTTATTGTTTAATTCTTGTATAATTTGTATACTTAAAACTCAAAACCTTGTAATTGTAAATAACCAGAATAAAAATAGCCTAGAATCTCAAATTGTATGACGTCGAGGAAATTTGACAGACGTAAAATGAGAAAATAATATTATATTATGTTGACAACTGTGCGCGACCTATGTTAAGTGTTAAAAATAAATTTATGGCGTTCTTAGAAATATAACTTCTTAAATTTTTAGATTTGGTTTAAATTTGTTTTTTTTTATAATCCTTAATATTCTCTTAATAGAAGAGATTTTTTTAAAATATTTTTTTCAAATTAAAATTGGTTTTTTAAAAATAAATACATATTATATTATATAAGAAAACCTTTTATTACAAGTTTTTGTCCAAATTTTTTTGAGTGGTTTTTCTTCCTACCCCAATTTTTTTAAAAATTAAATTCATTTCTCAATTTATAAATTAGTTTTGAATTTTTTTTAACTAATTATTTTTCACAATTTAAAATGGAGAAATTAAAAATTGTTTTAGAAAAAAAAAGACTTTACATATAAAATAAAAATTCAATATTAAAAAAAAAACATAATAACGGCGGCGATAATTAAGAAAGGTTTAAAGATTGAATAGAAGTCAAAATTCAAAATAAAATTTAGAAAAACGCTTAAGATGTGATTAGAGATTTAAAAACATAAATTGTCATTCCAGATGGTTAAAAGTTCAATCAAAATATTTTTGCCTTATTTGACTTTAAATAAACTAGGCAGATTGCTCATGAAGTAATCATATATTTGAAAAAAAGGTTTAACAATTTGTATTTTCGGGCTTTCTTAGCTAGCTTCAATTTTAAATAACTGGCCCAGAAATAATTTTTAAAATGAGTTGAGTGAAGTACAAAGATACTTCTGATTGAATGAGTTCAGTGAAGTAGAAAGTTCTTGCGCTTATTTAAGAGGAATTCAATCTAGTTTCAAATTCAAATTTTAACCATAACTCGATATGTATTTATATAATTCCAAATTAGTTATCAAATGAAAAAATAATTAAATTTCAACATATTTATTTCTTTTGTACCGAATTTTAGTGATTATGTTATTATATTTACAGCTATAATGGTTTAATGAGTAGAGCATGAAATATTATTTTAAAATTAATACATAAATTAAAAGAAAACTCATTAATTAAACATCAAAGTAGATTCAATTTCCAACGCTGTAGGTACATAAAAATTTAGATAATTTACATAAATCTAATTATTTAATTATTTGCGAATTTTTTGGACAAAGATAATTTTGAAAAAGAAGGTAAATTTCATGTAATAGTTTAAGCGTAAAATGTTTAAACAAACATTTAGTCAAATATTTGTCAATAAATCATTTATGCTTTTATTTGCGTAATAGCTCATAATATTAATAATAATATTCATAGCGTAATTAATTTTTAAACATTTCAAATAGCATTAAAAGCTCGTTATTTAATCCAATTATAATTTTGAAATATAAAACCATTTGTAAATTTTTTTTATACGCATATGAACGTCATCTGTCAAAAATTAAGTTTGAAAGTTTCGACGTAATACTTACATTGATTAAGTATGCTTATCATTATATAATCTGTTAGATGAAAGTGTTAGGTAACTTAATGATGTTTAAAAATTAATTAAATGTTTATGTAGTCTTATGATCCCCTGTGTCCATATCTGAAATACAATTTTGTAAAAGTTATTCACGTTCAGCATTTAAAACTCTATACAAATTATTTGTAATTAAAGTTTTTAAAAACAATTTCAACAAAAAAACTCTTATTGTCATGCGTTAACTAATTTTGATGGTTTCTTAATTGTCGCCGACTGTGGATTTTAATTGAAGTATTAAAAAATAAAATAAAAATAGAAAATAAATGAAAAAATTTTATACCTTTTTTTATGAAATTATTTAATTTACTTCTTTTATATCAAAATATTTTTTGTGTTTTCTTTTCTCTTTTTTTTTATCTTTATTTCCTCTGCGTTTTTTATTTGTTAAATAATTCAAAATGAATATTATTCCGAAATATTTTTTATGCAAATAAAAAAAAATTATAAAACTTCAAATTTTGTCAAATTAAACAAACAAATCACATACAAATAAAATCAATTGTGTCAACTTAATTAAAAAAAATCAAAACAAAAAAATTTCTCAAATTGTGTATGCATAAAAAAAACACTCAAAGAGGTGGCCAGAAATTTGATATCAACTGAGGGTCAAAAGAAAGTTCCCGATAAAGGTCCTGTGATGTTATTATATGAATTATTCAATGATGTACATTTCGATTGTTCAATGGTAGATGGTGCTCAGAATAATTGTCGTTTTAAAATGACAGTGACAGTAAATAATTGCAAATTTGAAGGGACAGGTAAAATAATTTTTTTTTTAGATATTTTGTCATCAGATTTGTGAAATGGATAAATTTTATTTTAAAAATTAACCGATTCGCAATCAAAATTGTAAATGTATAATATACATACATTATTTTTATTTGTGGCTATGGAGGTACCATTTTAAATAATTACGTATTGAAATACACATTTTTTAGTATAAGTATAGGTTTCGTAAAGTGGGATTTCTATAAGCGTAATAAAAAATTTTTAAATGGAGTGAATTTAGTTTTAGCTGGTCGAAAGCAGCTCTAATGAGATAATTAAAATATTGTCATTCTATCAAAATTTTTAAATTTTAGTTAAAATTTGAGTTATTGTATTTTGAACTTGACATGAAGAACAAAGCATGGTGTGTTGATTAAGTGCTGTAAATTAATTTGTCTTACTAACAGTCATAATTTTACTATAAGATTTCAAATAATATATTATTTGAAAAATCACATAATAAAGTTTTAAAAAACGAATTAAAATCTCATAAAATATTTGATTTTGCTTGCATAAATATGAAAAATTGCGAATGGGTTGAAATTCATATTGTAATGGAAATTTTAAAATTATTATAAAAAGAAAACAAAAATATTCTGATCTAAATAATAATATTTATTTTTATTTGTGTAATTTTTAAGGTCCCTCGAAAAAATTGGCTAAAAATGCAGCAGCAAAAGCTGCATTAGCATCATTATGCAATATATCATATAGTCCAATGATGCATCCGCAAAAAAATTTACCCATTCCAATTGATGATAAAACAGCATCCATGGAATTACCACAGATACATGCTGATAAAATTGGTATGCTTGTTTTAGAGAAATTCCAAGAAGTTATTAAAGGTCAAGAATCATATTCAAGACGTAAAGTTTTAGCTGGTATTGTTATGTCAGAAAATATGAATTTTAATGAGGCAAAGGTAAGTTTTCATTTTTCTTTCCCAATAAATTCATTTTATGTTTTTCTTTTGCGTTTCATTTTAATTTAAAATAATAAAAAAGAACGTGAAATTAAAATAGGAAGGAAAATATTTGAATTTTAGCACATTACTTTACATTTAAAAAAGAATTATAAAAATCAAGGATATTTGACACAAAAATTTTACATATATACTTTTAGGCATGATTAAATTAAGGTATGAGAATTACCTTATACCTTATATGTACTTGAAATACTAAGAAAAACATGTTCAGTTATACTAATATAAGAGGCGCGGTGTAACATAATATATGCAAATGGGTATATACGTGTAATAGGAAGATAATAATTATTTACTTTGTGTTTTGGTAATCAAGTTTTAATTAAAAATTTTAATTTAATGTAATTTACATTAAAAATACTGCGATTTTTAAAGTAAATATAATGAAAATTTTTAAATGGCAATTAAATTTAAATGTTGAAATGACGAAACAAAAGAAATGTTTTGCACAAATTATATATTTTTTTATTTTTATATTTGATATTTTTATACTTGAAACGAAAAAGCAATAGAAATTAAAAGGAATAATTTTTTATGTTACCTAATCCCGTGAGTTATTTTGATTAAAAATTAATTACAAAAACATTTTTAATGATTTTTTCTTTTATACTCCAATGTGAAATGGCATTTTTCTTTTAAATCACTTTTAAAATGACATAATTAATGGATTGTGTCTTTTAAAAATTAAAAAGTAGTTGTTTAATTGGCAAAATTTAAATAAATTATTTTAGAATTTTTGTTAAACAATTTTAAATTACTTCATTTTGTCAGTTTTGCTTCAAATTTTAAATTTGCAATACAAATAAAAATATCGTCGCGCATGTCGCACTTCCGCTTTAAATTGAATTTCCCTATAGTCAAAATATCTTGGTCATGTACCTTTTGTTATGTTTTTGTCCATTATGTTTCCCAATTAATGATTCCCTTAGAGATTGAAACACCAAATAATCCATACCTACAACTCTTATTTCGGTTTTTCAACTCTTTGATCCGATTACGCAAAAAAAAAACATTATAAAACTTGATATATAATTGTGGCAGTGTATTTTTTTTATAGTTATAGGGATGTTCGTATTTCTTTGTATAGCAAATTGAATATAAAAACCGTGTTTGTCTGCAAAAATTAACGATAATAATGATTATGACCTTTAAAAAATAATATAAAATACCGTACTAAAATTTATAATAAATTTTTTTGAAATAATTTTATAATTAAAAAAAAATATAAGAAAGAAATTAAGAGAAAGAAGGAAAATTATCTTTTATATTTCTTTTCATTAATTTACTATAAAAATATTATATTCAAAAAAATGAACGCAAAAGACCTTCACTTGTACCAGTTTTCCTCATTTTCTGCTAATACAAGTACATTTATGCTAAAATATAATGAATTCTTGGACATTTTTTAAATTTTTATTGGCTTATGCCTCACACATAATGTACTTTCATTTTAATTATTCGTATAAAAATTTTTAGTATAAAATTCTTCCCATAACAGCCCTCTCTATAAGTAATATAAAATATAATAAACATCATGAATTCTTCTCGTAGAATTCAACGAAATACGAATTTAGCTAAGACCTAGACTTTTAAACGATCACAAATTCCTTTCGTATAGAGATTATGAATCAGCAATGGCAACACAAGTACAAAACTTTCATAAAAAAGGATATTTTTTAAAAACGGAGTTTTGCAGTTTTTTCGTTTTTAATTTTTTTTTTGAAAAGAAAAACATTTTTTTAAGCAAATATGAATTCGTTTCATTTCATGATAGCTATTTTGGAAGAACTCACATGCAAACAAAAAATTTGAAAACTTAAAAACTTATAACAACCAGTCTCTTTAAATTGCTTGTGTTCGTGTGAGTATTTCTTTCGTAGGCTATTGAAGATTATTTTTACTACGAACGTAATTTGTGATCACAGTATTACGATTATTCGTAGTAGAATTTTAATAATTCGGAATTTAGAATATAACATTCGTAATTTTCTGAATTTCGGAGCTACGAACGATATTCATGATGGGGATGAAAAATGTTAAATTGAGTCTAATCAAAACTAGTTAAGAAAATTGTTAGATCAAATTTAGTAGTTACTTAATAAAAAAACAAAATATTTCATAAGCTGAATTGAAAAAAAAAATCCACAATAAAAGTGATTTTAATTTTAACTCTTTAAAATTTTTTCATAGATACTTTTATTAAAAAAATTAAAATTTTCAAAAAATTTATGTACTTAGAATTTTTTATATTTATTAAACTACGATATTCCCTATTATAGCCTCAAGAATTTAGATATCTAAGAAATTAAAGCTCAAACCAATAACATTTGCTACTTTATATTTAAAACTCATCCTCCGCTGTATAAAATTTTGCGACTTTATTTTGATCTTATCAAAAAAAATTTCTGAAATCCGGTTCATTTCGAAAAGAACATTAAAAAACAAAAACAGAACGAAAAATTTAGGTAAGAGATGCTTGGAATATTTGCTTTTGTATTTGTATACGTAATACTTATACAATTCAAGTTGTTCTAAAAAATGTCCTTATTTTTATTTTGTTTTTTTTTTTTTATGAAAAATAAAGAATTAAGACAATACAAAACAATTGTTTTTCTTTTTAACAAAAAGAAAAGAAAATATATTTAAATTTTTTTTTGTTTTTGTTTCGTTCATCGTAATCGTCATCAACATCACCATTTTATCATTATCATTAATTCAAAAGTGTATCCTTTTTTTTGATTATTATTTTAAAGTTTTATTTCGTTTCTCTAGGTATCTTTTTCCCACACAAATTCCTTATTTCTTTCCATCCATATTGTTGTTGTGTCATTCTTATCCGTATAATGAAATTTATATACCCTTTTTAACTGGGTGTTTTTTTTTTCAGAAGGTAAAATTGATTTTTGTTTTTTGCGTTTTTTTTTTTTTGTATGTCCCTATACACTTTCAAATTCTTATTTCATATGACTTGTCACTTTATATATTTTCAATGTTATTCTTATAGGATCAAGGAAAATACACTTGTTTTGTTTTTTAGAAATTTCTAAGAATTTTGAGTGTAATACAACAATTCAACAATATTCTCAATATTGTTGACTTACATTATAAAACATAATTCTCGTAACAAATCTCGTATTCAGAATTCTTATAACAGCAAAAACACGCTAGTATCTACAGAAATTATTCGTAATTTTTTTTTGGTATACTATCATAAAATATTGCCGATCATAATGACATTGCCGATCAGCTAACTTGATCACCTTTTCTAGTGTGCTGGCATGAGAATGCACTGAATTTTACTTAAAAAGAATAATGAAAATTTTAAAACATTAATAAATTAATTAAAAATAGTACGGGGTATATAGAGAGAGAAAGAGAAAAAGGCCAATAAGAAAATTAAAATTAATAATAAAAGAATAAAGTGCATAATCTAAAAAAAGACTATTTTAGGAAATTAAGGCTTTTTCAATGTCAAAAAATTTCAATCGAAAATTTTCAATTATTTATTATTGTCCTTATGGAGATTTATCCGTGTATGAGGACTTCTTTTTAAATGCTTTCTGAAAAAAAGTATGCCTTGAAATTATCTCTGAGATTGCCTTTCAATTTTTTTTTTGATAAATAGCATTTAAATTTTGAACTTGACGATTGTGTAGTTATTTTCGTCAATTTTTTTCAATAAAATTTACATCTAAGTGAATGTAAGTACATATATATACTTACTTATATACTCATGCAGACATTTCAGATATTTTTAATAAAATATGTATGTATATAAAATCGATTTCATAAAAGCACTTACATTAATCGTTTTTATAGTATTCATTTATTGAGGTGTTTTTGAGTGGTTTTTCAATGGTAGCCAGAGATGATCTCGTATAATTATACTGAAGAAAATTATATTTCACAAAATGAAACAATCTCTAGAAGTATAATATAGATGAAAGAAGTTTAACTGAATTAAAACGAATTTAAGAGAATTTTCAAAGATCTGTTAATCAAATCGTGCATATTATGAGGTTTTGTTACCAAAAATAATCGGTTGCATATTTATAGTGATAGATTGAGTTAGTCAACTTTTATAATATAAAAGTAAATTTTCTTTAAGGTCTAATTTCACATTTTCTTCGTCGTCATGTACAAAATTTTTTAGGCTGTCTAGATTGAATTTGATTTCCCGGAATATTTAACAAAAATCAGAAGAAAAAGTCGACTTTAATTTGTATCGGCTTTGGCATCTTTAAATAAGAAATTTTCGAAAATAAATAAGAGACTTATAAGGATCTCAATCCTTTTGTTAATATTTTTATGATCACTTATATATACTGCAATCATTATGTGAATTTCTAAAGGAAAAAGAAAATAAAGATAAAATTACACTCAATCTCTTTTATCAAGTTACATTAAAATTATTAAACTTACATTTTAATGTATGTTACATAAAATTATGATATAATGTAAATTATTATTCTGTATATGTATATACATATACATATATTTACATATTACATGTTATGTTGAAATCGTTGTAATCAAGCCTATGTAATAAAATGTAAAATTAATGTCTGAGTGAATTTTTTACTTCCTATACTTTCCTGAAAAATAAAATATATGCATAAATGTTCTGTACTTAAATATTTTAAATATGTTAAGTACTAAAATTCAAATATAATTTTATAGCTATTTAGAAAATAATTTTAAGAAAATCATATACTTGTATGTAAGTTTTTAATATATAAAAGTTGAGTGTTCTAGAATTGAAATTCTGTTCTCTAACAAATATTACAAATTTTAATATGTAACCCAAACTCAATTAGTTCGGATTTAGAGAAAAAAAATATATTCGGTTATATATTTCAAGCTATAAATTTGTATATATACCTGTATAGAGCACTTATATAACACTAAAGAAATTCAAAAATAATTGCATTGCCAATGCTTATAAGGTATGCTTGTACTCCTTGAAAAATATCACATTTCAAAATTATAAATATATATACATACATATGTATATTTATATTTGTATAAATATAACCTAAATTGTATTAAATTTTTAAAAAAATATGAGCGCTTTAGAATAATGTCATATGGTTTTTTTTTTCTTTGTGAGATTCTATTTGAATGTCTATACGATTTTTTTCCACCACATTTTCTTTTATATTCACCATCCCAAAATTTTTTTTATTTTTGAATATTGTGTGCTCTAATAAAATCGTATCCTCGTCCTTATTCTTTATAAATTTTTCTATTTTTCTTTCGTTTTTGTTGCATTTCACTTTCTTATTACACAATAATATCCTTTTGCCACTTGAAATTTTTGAGTCTGTCCAATCATAAAATAAAAAGCACCATCATTCTTAGTTTTTTTTTTCTATTAACATACTTTTGTTCAAAAATAGAAAAAAAAATTTTTTTTGTTTCTCAATTTTTCTTTTTTTTTTCTTGAGTTTCGAAAAGAAATTTTTTTTGTTAATAATGGTTATGTAAAATAAGAAATAATACCTTTTTGCTAATATTTATATACTGTAGAACACACAAGTTTCGTTCGATTAAAAAATGAAAGTCATAATACAAAATAAATAATTTGAATTGAAAAAAATTTTTTTGTATAATTTCTGTAAAGGTTAAAGTTGAAAAGAATGTGAAATTAAAAATTAAAAGTGGAACAGGACATGAAAATAAAATGTAAACTCTTCTCTTTTTAACAAAACAAATTCAAGGGTCAAGAAATCTCACTTCCGAATTCATTTTTATTATTCCTTGAATAATTCCATTTAAAAATGCATTACTAGGTTTATATAATTTTGGGCTCCATTTGACAAAATCTAAATACTCGTAGGTATAATATAAAAAGTGAAATTTGTGGATATTTGCCTTAGGTCGATTACTTAATTTTCGAACAGTTTAAGAATTGAAGAAAACAGTTTAAGAACTGAAAATTTTTGTTGTGTCAGAACCATAATAAAAAATATCGGGTTTTGATAAATTTGCAAGAAAAAAGACTAAGACAATTTTGTTCTCTACTGTACATCGAAATGTTAATATGTATTTGGTTTACTGAATAGGTTTCAAGAATTTAGATTAATGTTATATAAACAAGATGTGTTATATTATAAATATAAAAAATATAAATTAATGATGAACAATTCAAAAAAGAAAAAGTAAAGTAAAACTTCTTGTCTCGTTCGTTTTTTCTTTTATTTTTTTTTTTTTCTATTTTGTTTTGTATTTTCACTTTTATTTTTCTTAAACTTTTTGTTTTTAGGTTATATCCGTTTCAACCGGAACAAAATGTGTATCTGGAGAACACATGAGTGTTAATGGTGCTGTTTTAAATGATTCTCATGCGGAAATAGTATCGCGTAGATGTTTGATGAAATTTTTATACGCACAATTGGAAAAGCATTTGAATCCTGGTAAAATAAAAAAAAAACAAAAACAGAATAAAAATCAAAATGCTTTTTATAAAAAAGAAAATGAAAAAACAAATCATCTATCAAACATACAATCTATCTCTCTATATATTCATCTCTTTCTTACTACAATATATTTTTGAGTAAATTAAAGGTATACATAAAAATGATAAATATAAAACATTAAAGAGAAAAATAATATCACTTTCTTAAAATAAAATATTTAAATTTATCATTTTTAGGTATATTTGAAAAAAGTTTAATCAAAAAATAATGAAAGAGCATGAGAGTATAGATAAATATCAAAAATATGATAGAAATATCATTAATTTTTATTAATTATTTGACATTTTATGTGTCAAAAGCAATAAGAAAAAAAAATGAATTTTGAAAAAATTTCCAAACACTACCAGCAAATACTTTAATTTCCGTTTTATATTCATTTAGCAACCATAAATCAGTCTATATTTGAAAGAAATCCAGATAACACGCAATATCCGTACAAATTGAAAAATGGTGTCCTATTTCATTTGTACATAAATACTGCACCGTGTGGCGATGCTAGAATATTTAGTCCACATGAAAATGATTCCGGTGTTGATAAACATCCAAATAGGTAAAAAAAAAGAAATTAAAATAAAAAACAAAGAAAAAAAAGAAATTCATGAAGGAAAATAATAAGAAAATATTATAAAAAAAGAACAAAACAAAAAAAAAAAAAACAAATTGCAACCTTATAAAAAAAAATTCGATGGATTTTAGATATCAAACATTGTTCATGAATTTTGTTTTGATGAAATTTGGATGACGATTTTACTATCAAACAAAATCCATGAACGTTTGCATGTCATACTTTTATAAAGTTCAATTCAACTTATTAGAAATGTTTGATAGTATAAATCCTGACTTTTATGTTATAATTCAGACTTTATGTTTATTGTGATTGTCAGCTGTCAAATTATAATTAAAATTGTTAAAAGTTCAATTTTAAATTGTTTTGACTTTTTATTTTATCTGACAATTAAAAATTTTTGATAATCACAATTAGCATGAATATTTTCTATATGCTTATGCAAAAATAACCAAAATTTTCTATAATTTTCAGCATTTTTTTGTAACAATTCTTTGATAAAATTTAAAATTTTGTCAGTGAAAATAACGAATAAGAAAATAACCTTATTTATAGCCAATATTATAATAAACCCTTATTCATAAATATACAAATTGTTTTATGCAGTAATATAATTTCAATTGTTGAAAATATAATAAATTTTAGAATTGTCAGCAAATAACGAACAAAAAATTGGTTTAGCAACGTTTTTCGAATTTAAATGTCAAGGCCATAATATTTCAAGATTGTGCCAGTCTTACACTTACAAATCTATGAATGATTTTTCATTTTGATATGTTTGAGTTATTATAAAAGTTTAATATTAAATTGAATTTAATGAGCACGTTATGATTATGCACAATTTGATTTAATTCCCAATAAATTGAAAACTATTCCCAATATATTTTATAATATCCCAATAGGCGTTATAAAAACGGTTTCATATATTGAGAATTTTAAATATTAAAGAATTATTACAAAAAAAAAGTTATTGAAAATTATGAAAAATTGACAAAATTAAGAGCATAGAGATCAAAACTCTATATTTTTAATATTGAAAAATAATAAAACTGAAAAATGATTTAAAGAAAATTTTAAACTAACGCAATAACGATCAAGTTATTGAAATAGTTTAAAATAAAATTTTGTAGAAATTGCTAACGTTTCGTGAAAAAAACTTTGAAAGAATTTATTTTAATAATTTTAGTTTAATGTCAAAAAATAATTCCTAAATGTGATGTTTTATTAAACAAAAAGATTCTTAGCTGAATAACTTGTTGTGTTTTTTTTTTTAATAAAAAATTAAAGATATGAAAACTTAATATCTTAATGAACTCGGGTTTGACTGAATTGAAATATAATTGACTACTTTTTTCAAATTGTCATTATTGATTGACAACTGATTTCTTTAGGGTTTTCTTATAAATTTATAATAAAAAATTGTTATATATTCTATTTAAGTAAAACATTTGAAATCTTGATGTTGTAACAACAAATTGTATTTTAATTTCCAGTTCATTTTTAAAATAGTGATAAAAATGTAAATATTATTATGTAGTCATTTATGCATGTTGATGTTGTGATTTCATGTATAATATAAATAAATTTCTTTTAGAATTAAGTTAGATAAAAATGATGGTTCATTTTATAACTTTTAGAATATTTGTAATTTCTTTTCAAAATTTTAGTATTATTTTCCAACGAGAAAATTAAAAAATAAACTGTTATACGCTTTTAATTATTTTCACAGCCCTGTCAAATTCACAATAAATTTGTACCTAATTTAATTTGATTCTTGTGTTAAATGTCAAATGTCAAAATATATTTAATAGTAATATCAAATTTTGAAATTCATTATTTAATAATTTAAAATCAGTTATTTTTAAATACCATTAAATTTTATAAGAAGAATTATTAATTTTTATATGTATGTGTATCTTAAATTTCGAGTTGGTTTCGGCTGTTTATTTAGAAATTTATAAGATGTTTAAACATTTTAAAGTTGATTGATAGAAAAATAGCAAGGAACAATTGATAGAAAATACCAAGGATTGATCGAAAAATACCAAATAACAAGGATTAATAGAAAAATTGCTTCTAAAGCAAACCTAATGTAGCCCACCAAAACTGAACTCTCAAATGTCTTAAAGTTCAGAATATGTACAAAAGGTGATCAAAAATATTTCCGCAAAAAAATTGGTCTGACGCAGTATTGGCTTTTGAATAATTTTTTTTTTTATATTGTATATACTAGGTCTATATTTCCTAATTATTGATGTTACTTAAACTTTTTTTTCCATAAAATTTGATTAAAGTTTTATAATTGTTATTTTTTCAAATTCTTTTCAAAATTTTCAAACGAAACGTTGGTTTAGTGAGCAAAAAATACTTTTACCTTATTTATCTATTGATCTTGTAAAATTTATTATGATTCTTTTTGAAACTCAACTCCCAAAATACTTAAAAAAAAAACAAATATAAAAAATAAAAAAAACAATGTGAACATAAAAATGTAGGAAAGCAAGAGGGCAACTGCGCAATAAGATAGAATCCGGTGAAGGAACAATTCCTGTGAAAAGTTGCGATGGTATTCAGACTTGGGATGGAATATTACAAGTAATTAAATTTTACAGAAGAAAAATCTTTGTATTACATTATATTTCTTTGTATTACATAAGAATTCAAATAATAAACTTATTTGCATTATAATTTTATTTATTATATAATTTTCTTTTATATTATTTTATGTTACTATAGGGTCAACGTTTATTAACAATGTCATGTTCTGATAAGATTGCAAGATGGAATATTGTAGGTATTCAAGGTGCATTATTGGCATCGCTTGTCGAACCAATTTATCTGCATTCAATTGTATTGGGAAGTTTATTACATCCAGAGCATATGTATCGTGCGGTATGTGGCAGAATTGAAAAATCAATTCAAGGTTTACCACCACCATATCATTTGAATAAACCGCGTTTAGCATTGGTTACATCAGCTGAGCCGAGGAATCAGGCAAAAGCACCAAATTTTGGTATAAATTGGACAATTGGTGATACAGAAATTGAAGTTGTTAATTCATTAACTGGGAAAACAGTTAATAATCAAGTGTCACGTTTAACAAAAATGAATTTCTTTATGAAATTTGCAAATCTTTTAAAAAATTTACCAGGTTTACAACAACGAAAAATAATTATGGATTATGGCGAAACAAAGAAAGCTATCAAAGATTATCAGGTAATGTTAGAATGTAATTTCTAATTAAAACTATTTAAACGGCTTAAATTATAATTTGCTATTGGATTTTGGTAGTATTAGAATTTACATTTTCATATAAATAAAAATATTTAAATTAATATGCATTAATTGATATTAAAAATAATTCGAATTTTATTAATAAATGTAAATAAGTATAGTCTTAAAGTCCTAGTAAAAGAAAAAAGTTCGTTAGTAAGACGCACTGGCAAAAAATAAGTAAAAGAAAAACAAAGCCAAGCAACGAATTGCTTTATATAATATCAAAGGTATATAAAAATATTTGAAATTAAGACCAGTTTTTTCCACTGTGACTAACATGAATTTCAATCGAAAATGGAATACTTCCATTATGTATGATGTTCTCAATGATTTCCCACTTTCGTGGTTTAAGTGTTTTTTAGAACTATATTAAACTTTAATTTTTCTGATGTTCGTGACTTTATTTTATAACTGTAGTTTTATATGCAAATTAATTGTAAACATTCTTAATTAATACTAATTTTAAACATCTAAATATTCAAGAGGTTGTTTTTTGTTTTACTTTGTATTTGATAAATATTTGTTTTTTTTTACCATTATATTTAAATTTTCACTTTCATATATGTTTGTTAATTTAATATAACATATCTAATTTTTGTCGACTTACGTTTAATTCTAAAATAAAATAATATTTTTCATATTAAAATTTTGAAATTCAGTATCGATCATTCTAAAATAAAGATCAAAAATACTATGAATATTTAACTTGTGTACAATAATACCCCATTGTGATATTTATTAAAAGTTTATTATCTAAAAAACACAATAATTAATACTGTTTTTTATTTTTTAGACCGCCAAAAAGGAATTATTTGATGCTTTCAAAAGAGAAGATTTGGGGAATTGGTTAAAGAAACCAATTGAACAAGATGAATTTTGTCTTCCTGAATGACTACCTTACACAAAGAAAACAAATCAATTAAAAAAATACAATAAATTTAATAACAAAACCGTTCATGAAGTTGAAAGATATTTTTATAATTTTAATAATTTGATTGAAAAAATTATGTTTAAGCAAGTTATTTTTAATTTTATTTTATTAATCATTACAAAATTTATTTGTATAGAAACAAAAATTATTAATTCAAAAATAACATTGATTTTGTTATTGAAATCTTTTTTTGAATGTATTAAATACATATTTTTATTATCATTGACAAGACTTGCGTATAATTTTAAATTAGATTCAAATAATTTATTAAAAATTCTTTTCATATTTATTATAAAAATAAAAACAATTTCAAACATATTAATAAAAATGTATAATACATTGATTTTACAAAGCAATAATAACGATGAATTTATTAAATTCTTTACATTAATTAAAAATTATATTAATATATTAAAAATTAATTATTATACTTTTTATTATAATATATTACAAATATATTCAAGAGAAATATTAATAATATTAAAATTCAATGACAAAATAAAATTATTAAATAAAATTATAAAAACATTTGTTAATATTACTATTATTATTATTAGAAATATCATTCAATTTAATTATACAACAATAATACAGTTTATTAAAAATTTCTTCAATATTTATTATAATATTAAAATGAATTTTCTCTTCTATTATAATCATCATTATAATCTATATTATGTAATAAAAAATTTCTTGATTATTATTGAATTCAATAAAATTTCATTATTCTTAAAATTTATAAATTTATTAAATGATATTTACAATAATAATAATATTATAATATATTTCCATACAAAAACCATTAACAATTTTCCAATCAAAATTGAAAATTTCCAATATTATATTAAAGTAATTTTAAATAAAATTAAAAATAATTCAAAAATTACCATTAATTTGTATAAGAAAAGTAAACTAAATCATGAAATTGATTATAAAAAGTTTTTAAAAATTGAAATTATAAAAGATATAAAAATGATATGGAATTATAATCTTTTATCCAATCAGATATATATGAAGTATAAAAATATTATAAAAAATAATATTGAAAAATTTATGAAAATCTTCTTATATAAAGTACATAATTTATTTGAATCAACAGCAATACTCAGTAACAATGAAAATTTTAATTATTACGATAACAAAATTTACAAGAAAATTAATTATTATTATTTAAATGAAAATAATAGTAATTGCAATAAAAAAATATTTAAAATGTATGGGAACTATAAAACAGTAATCGATGATAATTGTAAAAATATTTTTAGCATATCTAGAATATTTCTAGAATAGAATGTAGCTTATTTGCTGGAACTAAGTAAGAAAGTATTATGGCATTTTTGTAGAATAATTATTTAATTTAAAAAAATAAATACTTAAATAAAAAATATTCAAAAAAAAATTATTGTCAAGTTAAAATATTTTCATATATTTTTTAACTTCTAAATATTTCTGTTATTTTTTAATATAATTTTTAGTAAAATTAAACATATTTTTCAATTATTTATATAAAATACGTATATAAATACCTACTTTGTTATTCATTATTCTATTTCATAATTATTTAATATTAAAAGCTTCATTTTATGTAGGATATAATATATTTTTATGACACATTTCATATTACATCTCAAATTTAGTTATTTGGTTCTCTTATCATATTAAATTAAAGTACTTAATTTTGAAGCTTTATATTACAAGATAGCACATTTGTTATATTCTATTTTTTGAGTTTGTGGCCTCGAAAAGTTAAATGTTAAAAACACATTAGAGAAAAAGCTGTATAGCTTATCCCCGAAATTTTGATACATCCACATTAATTTTTTTTTTTTGGAATGTTTTAAAGGAACAGATAAATTTCCTTTAGTTCTTAAAATTTATTTCCTCTTGCCTTTTTTTTGTTACAGAATGTTTAAAATTATTGAGAAGAAAATGAGAGTTTTACAATTTTTGTTCTACATTTAAAGTTTTAAAAATATACGCATTGTCACTTCCGTATTCTGATTGGTATGAACCGTCAATAAAATAGCCACAAAATAAACTTTAAACTATTAATTTTTTTTTGAGAAGCTTTTTGAATAAAAATTTATTAAATTAATTTTTTTTATATTAAATTAGATATCTAACATTGATAAAAATTATAGTGCATATTTATATGCATATTAAAAATAAGTGTTAAATAATGAAGTCAAAAAAAATTAAAAACGATATTGAGGATTGAATTGAAAGAAAGAGTGTTTTATATAATAAAAATTAATAAGTATATTAATATTAAATCTTTGATAAATAAACTTTCAATTGTTAAGAAATACATTTTTTCAAAAATGTATTTAGTTTCCAATATTTGGAATCACGTTAAAGCAATTTCAAATGAGTAAATGAATGAGACAAATGGTACTAAAATTTATTTAAGTCGAAGTACAATTTATTATGTAAAATATAACATTTACATATTTCATAAAATAATTTTTACTTTGAATCATTATTATTACATTACTGAGTAGTATCTATATACCTTAAATAACGTTAAAATATAAAATATAAATATATAAATATTAAGTTTTAACTATAAGAAAAATCCAAAGATAATATTAAATTAAATTAATCTTTTAATAAAATTTGGTATTATTGTTTACATATTCGTCAATATGTAAAAATTAAAATAAACTTAAAAATGACTGGAGTGCGAATATAGCAAATTCTATACATACATATTTACATTTGAAACTGTATAGATGCACTATCAAAAAAAATAATTTCTTTAAATATTTAAAATCAGTTTTTACGTATAATAAAATTATCATAATTTAGATCATTTTAAATTAATAAATCCTATTTAGTAATTTATGTTAAAATTTAAGTTTTCCCAAAGCAATATAAAAACCATATGGAGTTGTAAAAAAATTTATTAAATATTGAATTTTCTATCATTTTATGATTCTTCGATATAAAAAGAAAATTATTTTGTCTTTATATAAAAGATTATAAGTAGAATAAAACTTCTATCATTTGTTAACTAAATTATTAATTATTAAAAACAAAAAAGTATTTGCAATATTATATAACTAAAAGATAAGACAATATGTAAGAATGTCTATTTCAATAATATTATTAGGAAAATTATCATCAATTATTATATATCGTAAATATCTCAGAATACAATAACATTTTTCACACAACCATAATGAATAATTTTATAATATTTTATAATATTGTATTTAGTTTCAGCGCGTGAGTTTCAAATAAAAAGAAGAATATTTGGCCTAATATATTGAAAGAATAAATTTATTTAACCAAGTATTTATATTTACAAATTGAAATCTAATATTTATACAAATGTAGAAAAATTTTATTAATAAAATGTTTATTGTTTGCTTCCCTTATGTTTATATAGTTATCGATGCTTAAAATTATAAAACAGGCCTTTATCTTTAAAAAAATACATTGGCCGCGCTTTGAAAATTCTTTTTTAGTTATAAGAATAATTAAAAGCAAAGCATCCGTTTCGAAAATTTGGCTATGTAAAACCATTTTTTTTTTGTATAGGTAATTATAAACAAGGAAATAAAAAGATCATATCATTTATGACATTAATAAACTATTTCTAACATACATTATATAATTAGATTTAGAAAATTTAACTTTTAATTATTATATATTTACTATGATTCATAGACTTAACATAATTAATATTGTAAATATAAGACGCAATTAAAATTTAGAACTGTCCATTATAGAAAAAAAAAAAACAAACGAAAGAATCGAAAATTAAGTCAATCAAATTAATTCACATACATAAAAAATTTTAATTTAATTTTTGTTAATATTTTTTTGATGATGTTTTATGTTGATTTAACATTTAAAAATCGTTTACATATTGTATACATATTGCGGAAATATATCGTAAAATAAAATATTGTAAAAGAAGAGTCAATATAATTGTACAAAAGTTTTTTAACAACATCTATGAAACCAAAATACCTAAAATTTCTTACTGAAAATTTACTTAAAGCAATTTTGTATTTCCGAAAAAATGACATTGTTTATGTCGAAATATATTTTAAATTTAGCAAAATGAAAATAATTCAAAGCAGAACAAACTTATTCATAAAATTGTATTTTTTTTAAAACACAATTTATATTTATATTATTTAGATTCACAATTTTCTTAGATTAAATATAATTTCTTGGATAATACGTATATGATTCAAATAATTGAATTTCTTTACACGTTTTTCTCAATTTTTAAAGAAATCGTTGTACAACACTACTAGGTAGCTTAAAACACATAATCGCATATTTATACTAAAATGTAAACGAATATTTGATTTGATATTAATTTTTGAGTTTTTAATAATTAACACTAAAAATAAAAGTATTAAAATTCTTAAATTGGTTTTAAAAGTATATACACTCTATGTATATACAATAATTATTTAAAATAGTTAAAAAGAAAATTAAAATCTAAGTATGTATAATAATTTTAAAAACAAGAACATAAATTAAAAGAATAACAAAATACTGTGATACTAAATTTTACTAGTACTTCCAGCAAAGCTGCGTTTTTTCCCATTCTAAAGATATTCTAAATGCTCATGTTTTGTTTTATTTTAATTATAATTAAGATAATTTAGATTTATATAATTTATGTAACAACAAACCCAGAATGTAAAGAAAAAAAAACCCAAAAAAAACCAGGTCCCAAATTTATTTAAAATCTTCTTAAATTTAACCAAATATTTAAATAAGAATAAATCTGTATAATAAAAAAGAAATCAATTGGAAAACAATTCAAGGAAAATTAAAAAAAAGCTAATGTGTTGTAGCTTATTTTAAAAACTCAAAGAAGTGAACATTTTTAAAGAAGATATAAAGAATACATCGAAAAGGTGAACAAACCGTAGAAGGAGATAAAAATTTAAAAAGTTTAAATTATATTGAATTTAAAAAGGAATAATTTACTTAAAAATTTTCATGTTTATAAAACATTTGCATAAGAAACATTAATACATATTATATGTATAACAATATTCGTATTTATTTACTCTAAATATGAATATTTTTAAATAAAGTTGGTTTAAAGTGAGTCAAAGATATTATATTCCATATGTTTCTCTATTATAAAGAAGGTTTTTTTATAATAAAAATTTT